TTTTTTTTTTAAAAAAACCAAAAAGCCAAAATCTTGTTTCCATGTTTTTATAAACAAAGCTGTGCGTGGCGCGAGACCGGGCTAGCTATTGTGTTGCAGATGCGGTCGTTGGAAGCGATTTGCTCCAGAAACAAGAATGCCTCGCTGTGTGTATCGGTGCGTGTGCGTGTGCAGCCGGGTGGGTGGGTTTTTTGTGCGTATGTGCACTAGAGTTTCCTTTTTACAGGGATTTGAGAAAACCGCTGAGCTTGACAGATTTTTTTTTTCCTCCTAGCGCTTGCTCGGCTCCAAAAAAAAAAAAAAAAAAAAAAAAAAGTACCCGTACGTGCTCGGGTCTGTAACAAGACGTCTGGCATCCTAGCACAAAAGGAAGTGTCTAGACGTGGGGTGTAATTGACAATCGCGTTCTCTAATCAATGTCGCAAAGCTCCGTGACGAGCCCGCGCGCCGTCCAATGAGAGCGCGGCCTGCGGCCCGGGTGTTGCAACGTTCGAAATCTCCCAAGGGCGGGAGGGGGATGGGAGGGGGCTTGCCTGTTTGGTTTTTTTTTTTTTTTTTGGTTGTTTTTTTTTTGCTGAAGTTGTTTGAGCTCAGCAGGAGCTGGTGTCGTTTCAAACTGTCAGAGCTTCAGCAAACTCTTCCGGATTTAGCAAAGCACAAAAAAATAGCAAAGTGTTTCCGAGTGTTTAGCAAAATGCTGAGTGAGGGGGATTTAAAGGGGGGGGGGGGGGCACCGAGTTGTATGTTCTCCTTTTGCACTTTAAAAATAGATGAATGTCAGGGCAGTTGCAGCAGCCCTCCTCCTCCGGTTTACATTTGTATGAAAGAAAAATCTGCCGGTGTTGGTGTTGGGGAGGCGGGCAGGGGCGCTGCAATGGTGTTGTCTGCCTTGATCCCGGTTTGTTTGCACTGCATGGCAGAGGATGAGACTGGGAAAGGGAGTTGAGCGCGGGGATCTTTGCGCGTTGGGGTGTCCGGGACCAAAAGTCTCTGGAAGTGCTCTGGGAGGACAGGCATGCGCCTCTCCTCAGCGCGCTCCGCGTGTGCAGCATTGTGTCCGCTTGCTCAGCCCGTTAGGTGCCTAATGGTGAGCAGTGTGCATTGGGATGCACTGTGCACTGGGGTACAAGTGAACATTGGAGTACAGTGTGGACTGAGGTACAAGTGTACATTGGGGTACAGTGTGCATTGGAGTAGTGCATTGGGGTACAGTGTGCATTGGACTACAGTGTGGATTGGGGCACAGTGGATTGGGGTACATTGTGCACTGGGGTCCAAGTGTGCATTGGGGTACAGTGTGCATTGGAGTACAGTATATTGAGGTACAGTGCATTGGGGTACATTGGGCTACAGTGTACATTGGGGTACAGTGTATTGAGGTACAAGTGTGCATTGGGCTACAGTGCATTGTGGTACAGTGTGCCTTGGGGCACAGTGTATTGAGATACTGTGCATTTGGGTACATTGTGCATTGGGCACAGTGTCTTGAGGTACAGTGTGCAGTGGGGTACCTTGTGCATTGGGCACAGTGTCTTGAGGTACAGTGTGCAGTGGGCACAGTGTCTTGAGGTACAGTGTGCAGTGGGGTACCTTGTGCATTGGGCACAGTGTCTTGAGGTACAGTGTGCAATGAGTGTGTCGGGTGTGGTCGCAGGCAGTGAACTCGCGGGGTTCGTGTTTGCTCGGAGAGTGACTTTCAGCTGCGGCCGGGTGCGAAGGGGTGACGGGCCCGCCCCGGTGAGTTCGGGGGTTGCCCCCAGACTCCAGCCGTCCCCGGCTTTGTCCGTCAGCAGCTTGGAGCCCGGCCAGAAGCCGCTGACCCCGTCCGGGGGAAACCACCCCCAGCACAGCTTGCCTTGGAGACGGGAGCTGGCTTGAGCTGTGCATCTCCCCTTCCCCCGGAGCGACGGAGGGTCTCGGCCCGGGCCGGCCGGGCAGGGAGCGGGGGGCAGCCTGCGCCCTCCCCTCTGCTAACGGGGGCCGAGGGCGGCCCGCACAGCTCAGGCGGAGGGATGACGGGCGCAGAGGCCGGAAGGGAAGACCCCCCTTCCCCCCCCCCAAATAAATGTTGGTTCAGAAACGGCTCCTGTAACAAGCAAGGCAAGTCGGGGGTCGGCTGCGGGCCCGCCAGCGCCGGGGCAGTCACGGCGGCCCCGGCTCCCCCGCGTCGCTGCATCGCGGCCCCCGCGGAAAGTTTCTGCCAAGAAACCCTTGGCAAGGCGCGGCCGGGCAGGGCGCCGCGGGGAGGGGGCAGCGCGGGAGCCCGGCTGGCTCATTTAATGAATCAATTAATTCATTGATGGATTGAACTGGAGCCCCGCGGGGATGATCAAAGCGCCCCAGTTACCCGAAGCCTCCTGCCCTGCCCGGCCACTGACCTCGCGGGAGGCTGCGGTGCGGGGCAGCGCTCCTCGACCCCCGGGGGGCTGGCGGCGGCGCTGCCCGGGGCCGGGCCG